ACAAAGGTCTTTCAAATCTCTTCAGTAATAGCATAGTCACGCCAAAGAGACCGAAGCGAGACCGAATTACATTACCGCAAATTGCCAAGAATCGGGGAGACGATATGGAGTCAGTTTGGCCGTGTAACTGGCCGGGGTGTCAGAGCTTGCATTTTAGGAGGGTAATTGATGTACGGCATTATCTATCATTTTGTTTTACTAATCATTTTCTTATACGTTGACTTCAAAATGTGACTCGTGCTTTTGGAAATATCATGTCCAAATGGGCAATAAGTAAAATCTTTGCCGAATGCGGACGATTTTATATCATAATGCACAACAAAAGTGGGTCGTTTTTGTATTAGTGTTGTTAATACAGAGAATTTCCTCATAGTTTTTCGTTTCTTTTCGTATAATTTCATTTCTTATTTTACTTATTTATCTATTCACCTTTTTAGCATATTATATCAAAGGTTGCAAACATCTAATCAAATGTACTTCTCTTTCTTTATTTCACATTATCTATTCATCGTCTAATTAACTTAACATTAACTCTTCTTATAAAAAAAGGGTACCGCCATAGATTCATTCTACATTAAAAACGCATTGAAATGTTCTTTAACAAAATACGGTTTTTCCTCTCTGTATCTGATCCTAGCACCCCTCAGTAATTCAGCTTGAAGAAAAGTAAGAAGCCATTCTATTCTGAAACTTGTTTGTTCTATTTTTGTCTGATGTAAAAGGTGGTGTGTAATCTGTTTCACTTTTATCGGATTTTTAAAACAAAAACAAATCCAAACGAGTCTTAAAATGTTTTTATCTAATGTTACCAGTAGATAGATATGAAACAACATAATGTAATGTATTTTTTTATGGAATACCCTATATGCGAGTCTTAAAATGTTTTTATCTAATGTTACCAGTAGATAAATATGATTCGACACAATGTAATGTATGTTTTTATGGAATACCCTATATATTTCAAATAAAATGTTTGTTTTAAGAAGCTAATGAGTCCAAAGGTTTATTTTATCATGTACCCATGTTTATTATTACGACATATCAACCGGAAAGTGGTATGAATCTGTTTGTCTGTAGATTGGAACATTGATAAATTACTTGGCTTCGAACATGAGCTGTCTTTAGCCTATATATCAAAATATTTTCCGATGTAGAACATTCTTCAAATATATAAACAGTCATGCATGTTCCACACGAATTCACATATTACATAAGGCCTACCTCGATATGTCTGAGACAAATTCAGCCAAAACATTGTGCAGTTGTTTTTCACGTCTACTCTCGATTGTTTTCTTAATTATAATTTTATTTGGTTGGTAAAAAATATGAAAAAAACATTCATATTGGCTTTAAAATGGAAAGGATGTGTTTCAGTCGCTTTTGAAAGAAGGTGAAATAGTTGTGGTTACGGAGAAACGGGGATAAACATTTGGGCTCTCACCCCCCCCCCCCCCCTCTCTCTCTCTCTCTCTCTCTCTCTCTCTCTCTCTCTCTAATTACGATAATGTTCACTAGCGTAATGGGGTGGGGGCTGGCTGGGAGATGCTGCTCCCCAAAGTTTGATTTAAAAACCACAAGGAGGGGAGGAAGGAAGGAAACAAAATTGTTTTACCACTGCCGAATTCATAATAATCCCATTGGTCAGTTGGTTACATCAAATATTGTTTTGGTCTTATTTTTTGTTTCTTGAACGCCTGTCTTCTTACCAGATTTAAAGAATGTATGTGAAATCCATGTCCTTTGCTATAATAAATTGTACAAAATCCATGTAATCACGATTGCCCTTCTCATACACCTCCCAGCCCCTCTTACCGCATGTTATATTCTTTTTAGATTGAGGAAAGGCTTGTGAAATACTGCAAGCAATGGCATTAGTTCCCCACAATTTGAATCTTCATCTGGGATTGTCTACCATCCCTTTACACGTAAAATTGAAGAAAAATAGAGAAACAGAATTGGGTGGATCTCGTGAATAAGACTACGTCACACTCTTTATCTTTGAAAGGGAATTTTGTAAATTGTAGAAATTGTATATCATTGGAGAAGTTTTGTCCCCAGAAATTACATTTGATACGGTTTCAGGTGATAATTTAAGACTGCCTAGCGCCATAAGAGAGGGAGAAGGGGTAAATATTAAGCTGCCTGAGTAATCAAAAGTGCCATTAGGAATAAAAGATTCCAAACTTAAACATTTCTCGCTCGGTTGCTACCTGACTTTGCGAAATAACGTCACCATAAATGCAACATTTTATTCAGTAAAATTCAGGGTTTTTCACACCCCCTCTCGCAGATTCAAGAGACCAATCCCCGAGTCGTGTCTCATTTACATCACTGTAAACACTTCCCCCCTCTCTCTTTTTTTTCTTTCTCTCTCTCTCTCTCTCTCTCTCTCTTTTTTCTCTCTCTCTACCCCTCTCTCTTACGCTCTCTCTCTCGCTCTCTCTCTCTTTTCTCTCTCTCTCTCTCTCTCTCTACCCCCTCTACCCCCTCTCTCTCCCTCCCTCTCTCTCTCTCTACATGCTATATTATTATATTGCATCCAAATTCCAAGCTGACCCGCTTAGCATTAAAATCGAAAATTCATTTTAAAGCGAGTAATTAATCTACATGATAACGCAGATGGCGCCCATACACAATTACAGAATCGCAGAATTGGGCAGTTGACAAGTACGATACGACAATATTGTATGAGAATTTCTGCTACAAAATTATGATTGCATCGGATTTAACTCTCCACAATGGCGTAGCCTGAGTCCACTCATTGAGGGTCATTAGAACCTGGGGGGGGGGGGGGGGGGGGGGCTCCGTTTTTAATCGAAAAACAAAATGCAAAATTACAAGGCTACTCATGGGGGGGGGGGGGGGGTAGCCCAAGTCAATATTCATTAAATCTTACTAAGCTAGTTTTCAACGAATTACATAGGCTATAGTTCATATTTGACAACTTTGCAAGATGTAACTTTGTAGGCTTTGTAAGATTATGGCCCTTGACGTTCCCGAATATCCTGGTATTTGAGCAGTAATTTGCCCGAGGATATCCTCATTTACGGGCAGGAGGTGCCCGAAGATGTGATTTCCCTCACAAACTGACAAAAAGTGTTAAAACATGTCAGAAAATATAGAATATAGACAGCTGATATTTGGTAGGGGATGCCCCCCCCCAACCCGGCTCGTCACAAATAAATGCACCCGTACGTCTATTATAGTTTACAAAGCTCTAAATGGTCAAACTCCTAGTTATGTAACTGAATTGTTGAATATCGAGTCTCAAACTCATGGTGGTAACCTTCGCAGAACACAAGTTGCAAATACCCCCATATAAAACCAAAGTAACCCTCGGAGACCGGTCATTTCTTTGACTATGGAATAGATTATTAGATTATGGAATAGATTAACAGTAGAAATAAGGAAAGCCCCATCACTAGAAAAAGTTGAATCAAGACTGAAAAGTCACTTGTTCATGAAATATGTATAGCACAGCATTTACGAGCTCTTGCAGCGCAGTAGAACATATTTATCCACATAGTTATTGCGCCTTACAAATGAATATATTATTATTTTTATTGTTATTAATATCGGTGATGGGTTTGGCCTACTTATGGACATATTTCTCTAAATTTTTCAGAAAATCTACTTGACACAGTTTCATCAATTACTATTTGAATAATACTTACAAAGAAAAATTCATAAGTTATATATCACAACATTAATTATTCGTTTTTAAAATAATTAACGTTTTTTTTTCAACAGGTGTTACTTTTCAACATCTGCCCTTTATGATATTTCCTTTAAAAATTTTCGAATATGTTTGTAAAATTGCATTTTGTTTTTGTGTATATAAAACATACGAAGCTAAATAATAGATTTGTAAAACCTGCATATTTTGAATTTAATGATCACGCCATCTTCGTCTGGAAGCAAGTACGTAGGGGAAGGTAGCGTTGGACGTGCACTAGTGGAGATCAACATTAAATAGGCCAGATTCTGGACTAACCATTCGGCTGAGTTGAGAAACTTGTCACAAATGAACGTATCGTTTCCGGTTGGTCCTTAGACGTACAAATATAGCCAATAAGCCTTTCGCTCGCCAGCCACTGACCTCTTCAACATTGAATAAAAAGTTTTAAAATCCTATTTATCCAATTCTGTATAATCAAAACAGTATTATAATTTAATAAAAGATAACATTCCTATAACAGGCATACGTACAGGTTCACTCCTGAATGATAAACGCCTATAAACCTACACAACAACAACAACAACAACAAATGTCTATTCTCGTATAGCTTCCTACGTACAAGGACGCTTTAAAGGCCCACTGCACTATATAACAAGCCATGCCTAATCGGTGACCATTGATCCCCCATGATCCTCTTTTTCTTATGTTAACTGAGAGCTGAGTTGATGAGATAACCACCTGTCCAGTGACCTTGCAGGGCAGTCTAATCCCTCCTGTAATCTATGGCAGATACGCTTTAATATCATGATTATGTAACGTAAAGGGTGTGTGAAGCGGATCTAGGGGGGGGGGGGTTCGGCGGTTTGAACACCCCCTTGGGCGGCCAAGTGAAAGGGGGGGGGAGGGGGAATAGAAGAAGAAAAACGAAGGATAAAAAGTAAAATAGTAAAACGGCGCGATTTTTGGAAAATCCTGGATCCGCCACTGGGTCAAACACCCCCCTTGGCAAAAAGCTAGATCCACCCCTGATCTATTTCCATATGGTCTACACCCAGCCCGGTTCCTCTCCTTTTCTGCTTCTATTAAAACCAACTTGTGAAAACCAACTTAATATCAGGGTGGACTTCCCCTTTCTCCCAGTGTAGGGTTTAAAAATACGAGACCATGCATGGGTTTCCCAGGAAAACTGAAAAAAGTAGTCAATTTATGAGTGACCTGAGGAAACGTAACTTGACCTTCAACTTGTCAAGTTGACCCTAGTTAAGCGAGTCCATGCTTGGGTAACTCTACTCACTGATAATTTCTACAGAGGCTCGGCGGAACAATCAATGGTGCACGCCCCCGGAATATTATCTTGAGCCTCAATATTTAATCGTAAAACCGTGACCAAAAGGTATACGACATTGCAGTTATTAAATGGTCATAATCTAGTCTGTACATATACACTGTCCAATCACAACTCCTTGGTCTAACGCAGTGTGAAGACAGGTGCATACGCGGTCGTCGTTAAAATTAATATACAATTTCGCTCGTGCATGTGAAGCCTGGGAGTCTGGCCAGGATAGGTCGTCGTTGGACTAGTTGAATCGTAGCAGGGTCTGTTCTACAGGGATCTAAACTAACTAAAGGAGCCATGTTTGGAAGATTGGTGAACCGGTGCGTTTCAGGAGTTGTAAGGCGACAGCCAGTGGTTGGAACCCGTAGGCAAGTCGTTCCCCTGATGTCACAATGTTCGAATTCGGCTAGTTACCATTCTAAAATAACAACCATTAGCTCCTCCTCAGAGATGCCAAAGTTGATGACCTACGAAAATGGTGAACGGGTAAGTAATGTCATGCGCCCAGAAAACAGGCTGCTGGGCCGGATAGATTTAAAGCATTTAACAGAATACAATTATGAATGTTTTCTTGAATCGTTCAAAAATATAAAGGTCGAAGAAGCATATATAAGACCGAACAGGAGCGTACACAGGGGGGGGGGGGGGGGGTTAAACCCCCCCCCCTTTGGTATTTTTTTGTGTGTAAACCCCCCTAAATTTCTCTAAACCCCCCCCCCCCCCCTTTTTATTTTTATTTTTTATTTTTTTTATTTAAAAAAAAAAAAAAAAAAAAAAAAAATATTCCCATGGTTGACCTAAAAAAACTGACCTTACCTCCTCCCCAACGGAGCAAAATGTCAAATGTTCAAATTTCGAGACCCCCCCCCCCCCCCCCAAAAAAAAAAAAAAAAAAAAAAAAAAAAAAAATGTGTCCTCTTATTTTTCCTCCCCAACGAAAAAGATTAATACCATGTAGGTAGGATCTACTATCGCAGTGCACTGGTGAGCAGCTATCGAACGGTGTGTTGCTGACAGATTCTAAGTACATGTATTTGTTTTAGGGACCATTTACGGTTGATCAAACAGTGGTTTTATTTACCATTTTCAAAAAACCGCTTACACAGCAGAATCCAGAAACAATGTTGCCGAGAGAAATAAATAGGTTAAATGTCAAATGATTATGTAATGAACGACACTCTTTGAAATCGGTGAAAATGTCATTATCATTACGATTTGCATGAATCTTTTCATTTCTGAGGGTGATAAAATGAATGCAGGAAATGAAATAGCATGTATTTTGAAAGAGTTCATGTATCATTTGTCGTATTGTACTATTTCCTATATTGCGACTGCTTACACAGTAAGATGTTTACACAGTAGGCCTACATGAATTATATACACAAAAGTCAATATTAACATATTAAATAGACATTGCTTTAGGAAGTTTGATAGCTAAGGGTGACGAACTTTGAGGGTCAATAAACTTCAACATGAATATACACGTAGTATAGCGCAGTTTTGGATCTTTTCATGAGTTTCATGAAATCATACAGTACATTTTAATATTGGTTTGGGAGATTTGAAGCGGCTGACGTACTGTGCAGTCAAAAACTTCAAAAACAGGGGAGGGGGTGGTACTAACAAATTAAGACATACATGAATATGTGCCGGTCTAAGGAGTCACTTTTTCACACAAAAAACCTAAACATGTGTCCCATTTTGTACAAAGATATCACTAAACATATTTCCTTTTTTCAAAAAATTTGAAAAATGGCCCCACTGATATTTCGAGAAAAATCCCTAAACAGGGTACCTTTTTTTATAGTCAAAATGACCCTTAAAATAGGTTGGGGTTCGAGGCTTAACTTAAGTGGCACATCGCCCGTCAAAACTAAATCTGAGTACCCCCCCCCCTTGAATTCAAACATGAATGTAGCAGAACTTATCTTCTGTAGGCCTATAGAAATACAATTTAATCACTTTATCTACACATGCTTCATAAAAACAGTCAATTCCAACACTGTGACGTATAATTAGGTGATACGTACGTAGACGTATCACCTTTTGATTTCGTCAAGATTTTTATTATTTATTTATTTATTTATTTATCAGGTGGGCTGTATAACGTACAGACCACCTTATAATTTCGTTAGAATTGCCTTTATTATTTATTTATCAGGTGGGCTGTATATAATACAGAACACCTTATGTTTTCGTTAGAATATTTTTCTTATTTTGACCCACTTTTTTGTTAGCAGGATAACTTGAAAATGGCTCAATCAATTGCCTTGAAATTTGGCACACATATTTATTGGCACGAGGAAAGAGCACAGTAAGGTTTTCAACCTTGACCTTGACTGAAAACGTTATCTAGGCGCCATTTTGTGAAAATCAACATATGATCATATCTTCATAACGGAAAGTTTCTTCTCATTCATATTTATCATGATCAAGGTCAATATCAGTCCGGTCAATTTCAGGTCCAAAAACGCGCGCGTACGCCATTATTAGCAATGGCATTTTATAAAGAGTCGCGCGCGTTTTCGTTTGTCACGGCCGAACGCAAAATAATTCCTCCCGGGTATCTTTTGACACAGTATTCCTCATATTTTTCCGAACAATTTGATACCATGTTTATCTCCTTACGACCATTATTAAGGGAATGAGCGTCCGTTCAAGATAAATGTCCGTGTGCGCGAACTCTTGTAATACATAGCATATATGGGCAACAACATGCCTATATAAAACCCTTATGGCTCTTTGGAATGGACGGGAACCCTCAATTTTTGTTCATATTCGGATAGAGTATGAGTGGGAGATGTGATTTCATGTCTCATTTGGCCATTAAGTATATCGTGTCATCATCATATTGACCTTGGAACTCAAAATACGAATTTGCATATTATGACGTCAGCATATTTATGAAAAATTGATTGTATCTCTGTAAATATTTATTGAATCTCTTCCTAAATTACACGAGGGTTTGTATCTTTTTACAAAATACACGATAAACAATTAGCCGAAAATATCCTCAACCGTGTCAAGTTTAGCTGAATTAATGCGGGTATTATTCGATGGTAAAAAGTTTGTAAAACGACTTTGAATTAAAGGGAGACAAAAATCTTTTCTCAAAGTTTGTTTGTTGATTCAGGGAAGCAGGGTGCGATCCAGCCGGGGGCGATTCTCAACAACATGAAGCAAATAGTAAGCATCTAAAAACTTCAGATGCCTGTTTGATTATGATTTAAATTTGAGTGTATGCCTCAATCATATAAAGAGAATATAACCACTAATTTCGCTGAAACGATTCTCCTCCTCCCCGTTCTTCTTCATCTTCTACTTCCTAGTTGTAGTAGTTGGAGTAGTAATAGCAGCAGTATCATAATAATCATTGTTATATTTATAATTATAGTAACTATCGTAGTTATAATCATTATTATAGTAAGTGTGTGTTATTGTTGTTATTCTTATAGTTATTTGTAGGCTTTTTCTTCTGATCATAATTATCGTACACACAATACGTCATGTGCCAATAAACTATGATACATCCAAGATGTCTACCAAAACTGTCAATTCGTTGCTGAAATAATCAAGCCAAAAGAAGAAACATTAGAATTTCTACTTTAAATTGAAATAAATTATATAGGAGAAATAAATAGAGAATACAATCATGATTTTGGAACTAGGGGATTAACATGGACATAATGCACTTGTTTGCATGATCACAATATCTTTTATTCATTCTACCTCCAATTTTTCAGACTGTTTTCAAAACAAAATCATGTTTGTCGATCATAGTTCTATGTAGCTTGATGTCTCATGGTAATTTAATAAATCTAAGCAACAATTTCTGAATTTTAGCGACAATCGTTCGCCATTACTGCTCTTTAATACTATTATGACGTGCAGTAACAAATAGAAATTTCAGAACTCATGATAAATTCGATTAACATTTGATTCTACTTGGTTGATTCTATTGTTCGGATTATTTAGCAGAACGAGATAGAAATTGACATTCTCATGGCTAACGACTTTGCGTTAGCAGTTGTTCATCGTCTCTACAATGCTATTTGAACAATATTTGGTGACAAAAGACGGCATTTCTATGTGGCGTCAAAAGCAATCAAATAACAAAAACAAGGCAGATGAAAAGATCCTCAGTACACGGTCTAATAATTTAAAGAACACTTAATTTGAACCCGGCCATATTCTGTCTGTCTCTCTCTCTCGCTCTCGTTTGTCATTGCCTTCATTTCCCCTCGCTTACTTCATTCTTACCACGGAATATGTAATGTGTATGTGTAGGCCTCATTATGTTAATTAGGGTCAATGGTCAAATTGTCTCAATATATCTTACAGACATCCATAATGATCAAGGCTAAACAGTAGAAACTTGACATATGGATAGAACATAATGGGAGAAGCATTTTATTTAACAATATGAAATCGTGAAAATGCATTTTTCATTATGTAAATCATTAGCATACGTATCACCTAATTCGTCAGAGTGACGAATTAAAGTCTAGTTATTAGTTTTAATAGTAACAATTCTAATCATTTTATTGACTATTATTAATATTAGTAACAAAAAATAAAGATTAAATTCGTGAAGAAAGGTTTTAGCACCATTCATGCACAGATTTTCATTTCGGGTGGAAAATGTAGGTAATTACCGCTCCATCTCGTCTCCATAGGCCCAGCCAACCTTCCCACGCGCCGAGATGCAACGCCGTGTCAACGCCCTCCGAAGCCACATGCTCGATCAGGGAATCGAAGGCGTACTCCTGACGTCAATGCACAACATCAAATACTTCTCCGACTACCTCTACTGCAGCGTCGGTCGTCCCTACGGGCTCGTCATCACCATGGACAAGGTGGTCAACATCGCTGCCCTCGTCGACAGCGGCCAGGCCTGGCGGAGATCACCCGTGAGCGACGATGTGGTCATCTACACGGATTGGCATCGCGACAACTTCTGGAGCGCCGTTCGGCACCTGCTCGGCAACGCTTCGGGGAAGATCGGAGCCGAATTTGATCATATACCTCATGGAGGGAAACTAAAGGTTTGAATGTTATGGATTTTTCTTCCTCTCTTGTTTGTTTGTCATTGTTTTGTTCTGTTGCTTTGTTAATGTTGACTAAAAATGTCAAGAATTCCTAATTGATAACAAAACGTATCCTTTCAACCAATGAGCGGCATGAGCAGGATTCTTTAGGGGGAGGGTCACCGTTCTTCTGCATGGGTATAGTTTTTAAAAAAGGGGAGATCGAACTATTAAATTTTATCAAAATGAATTCTACATCATTATCTTTCTAACCGATCGAGGCATGTATCGATCGATCTACGCCATCCCTGTAATTTTCTGTCTTTCATGTAAGGAAAGATCAGTTCATTTTACCCCAGGCTGATTGATTGATTGCGAAATTCTTAACCTATTTGCATAATTATAAGAATACGTCTTTTCACTATTTTCTGCAAAACACTTAAGCCCCACTTGAAAAAACCCTATATTTTTGAAGAATCTTTCTGATGAAATTTAATGATAACTTAAATAATATTTATCTCGAATTAACAGTTAGAACAAGCTGTATCTCGAGACGACACCGTTGATGTTGGCATACCCATCATGCAGATGCGAATCATCAAGTCCCCCGAGGAGATCGCCCTCGTCACAGAAGGCGCCCGCATCGCCGACTTGGGCGCAGAAGCTGTGGTGTCTGCAAGCGTAGAGGGCGCTATGGAATACGAGGTCGCCCAGCATGCCACGACGGTCATGATGCGAGAGGTGGCCAAATCGTTCCCGGACTCGGAGATTCGGGATAGTGAGTTAGAGCGAGTAATGTTTCAAACTGTATGATTTAAAGTTTCATAACGCCATTTGTTGAGAGCAAGAAGGACATAACTCGATGTGAAATGACAACGACTGAGTGTCGTTGGCTTTTGGCCGACTACACTTTTCCAAGGTGGATTAAAATTAGAAATTAATATTCCTCTCCCGTCAACATTATTCCCTTCTTGAGAACGGTTCGCTTGAAATGAATTTAACATATGCTTGATTCCCTCTTCCACAAAAAATTATTCAATTATTTTTCATTTCATTTTCATTTTCAGTTGCCAAACGTTAAATAAACGGTTAAAACACTCTGTCTCCCATTCTGTATATCTCTCTTCTTTGCCGCAATCCCTATACCCTCTTCCGTCTAATTGTTTCTCTGTATTAATGTTTCCATCATTGTTTCTCCCCTCTCTCTCCCTCCCTCCATCCCCATCTCTTCCTCATCTTTCTTTCCCTCCCATTCTTTCTTCCCTCTATTATATCTATCTCTCTCTCTCTCTCTCTTTCTCACTCACTCTCACTCTCTTGTTCATAGCTTGGTCCTGGGTGCAGTCTGGTCCTATCAACTCAGACGGCGCACACAACGCGACCACGACACGGCAACTCATCAAAGGTGACGGCATCGTCCTTAACGTCTTCCCTATGATAGCCGGGTGAGTATCATGTACGGGTGATCCGACGTTTTTATCTTTCGACAATAATTCGTCCCTGTTTTTACGAAGTGACGGTAGTGAGGAAAATCGTCACGCAAAGTGAATGCAATTTTTTTTTCACTACCGTCACTTCGTGAAAACAGCGACGAATTGTTCCGGCGACAATTGCTCCGGGCTTTACGTCATACGGATGGGGTTAGGGTTGAGCATGGAGTAACTAGGCTCGTTCACATTTGACGTGGAGAACCCCGCGGTCTTCTCATGATGACTTTAAAGGGAGTGTGTCATGACGAGACTATCCCCTTGGCCTTACCCGGAGCCAATCGGGTATATACGACTACAGACGACGCGACCGCAGCATTCACGTGCGTGCTACATACGCGAAACCGAAGCGAGTGGAGAACTTCGGTCTGTTTCGCGAACGCTGGCGCGCGCTGACCCAGTAAAGCGTTGGTCACATCCCACCGTGCGTGTTTTTAGTCCGTACGGTTTTTGGGGAGGCCACGGCCGCCACGTTTTTCTGAAAACGTAGGGAGGGAGTGGCAAAGACAGGGAGGGAGTACCGGCAACGCACGTCACACGCACGGTGTAAGTACGTGGCCCGCACGCCACGCCTGGCCGTGAGTGGTTGTGTGCATCGTACGTTGCGCACGTGGTAAGTGCGTTGTACGTGCTGACAACGTGCTTACAACGTGCTTACAATGTACGGTCTCCGTGCGGTTGCCACGTTATCGTACTTACACGTGCTGCTCACGTACGGTGTCCCTACTCACCCGCACGTTGTAAGTGCGTGCCGTGCGCTAAACTCGGTTAGTTTTTCCACCCGATGTCGGGGTATATATACGATGCCGCCCATTCCACCGCAGAGACGATACAGGCTACTGCATAAATCAGTGCGCACAACGTGCGTTGTAAGTGCCGAGCACGTGCTTACTCGGTACGGTCCACGTAAGTTATGCGTGCTCATTGGACAGTTGAACTGGGGAAGTAGCGAGTAAGCACGGACCACGCACTTATCAGGTGCGCAACACGCACGTGCTAAGTTGGCAGTACCGGGCACGCACGTCACACGCACTGGGGGTAAATCGGTAGCCCGACCGCAGCCCGAACGCAGCGAAAGTGCACTAAAAGTGCTACGGTGTGTCTGCGTGCTCCCAAATCAGTACTGAGGCGGTACTCACCACGTACGGATACCCAAATTTTGCCCACGTTTTTGCACGTAGACAGCACGCACTTGCAAGTACGGCGGGATGTGACCACCGCATAAATCAAGTCCATTCGTTTACGTGCAAATGTCCAACAGAAGACGTAGATGGCGTTAACCAGTATTTCCCATGAAACACTCACTTTAAGTGTAATACGCTTCTCATTTCTGAAACTTACAACCAGGGAGTTCAGAGAGCTCCGTGAATGCGCAAAAGTCCATCTTTGGGCGCAGTTGCCATTCATTTAGACCACAAAAAACGGTGGTTTACCGGGCCTCATCTGAACAAGCCTTTGGGGTTGCATAATCTGTTGTCTAGACAATAATTAGTTGTCCTATCATAGTTGAAAATGCCGCTCGACGTGTAACATCATATGGACAGCAAAATGTTGTCTGGCATTTGCTTTTTGGGGGGGGGGGGGGGGGTGGTGAGGAGACTTACGTGTCTGGGTATATAGGCCTATTTGTCCAGGGTTGAAAATTAAAAATCAGTAAGGTAGTGTGGCAAAGTCTGCGGAACTATTATTGTCGCAGGAGCATGTTTAATACAACCCTTTAGTCATCTAATGAGCTGACGAAAGATTGCGATTGCTACACAAAATAATGTGGTAAAATATATGAGCCTTTATATCGTGCAATTATTTTGATCGTGCTTTGGTGTGTACGACAAGAAAATGTTTTCCGTTTCCCAAAGTATTCAGTCATTATCATCGAGACTGACAGCCATTCGCATGAGCACGTCATGAGCAATACTTGGTTAGAAAAACGATGTTTTCAGATTAATGCATACTAAATTCATATTTAATTTGTCATTTAATCCTTTCATTATTTGTATTCTAATTTTTCATTGCTAATCTTGTAACTACTACTCTTCTTAACCACACCTCTGACAGCTATTTCTCGGCGCTAGGACGTTTTCATTGCTAATCTTGTAAATACAACTACTCTTCTTAACCACAACTCTGACAGCTATTTCTCGGCGCTAGAACGAACCCTTTTCTTGAACCACGTGCCTTCCGACCGCCATCTTGAAGTGTGGCAGGTCAATTGCGACGTTCACCGCCGCGGTATGGAGCTCATCAAGCCTGGTGTCAAATGCTGCGACGTCGCGCTCGAGTTGAACGAGATGTACCGGGAAAAGAACCTACTCCAGTACAAGAGCTTCGGCTACGGACACTCCTTCGGGGTCCTGTCGCACTACTACGGCCGCGAAGCTGGTAGACTTCTTTTTAAAAATGTCCTCTTAAAATTTTCCTTTTCTCCAGAGATTTTGTGCAATAAGCTAGTATAACACGACACAACAATGATATTTTAACGTACCAACATTTTCTCTAAATGAGCAATTACAATCTGTTTTGTCACATAGGTGACGTAACGCCCCCAATCACATTTAACACGATCTAAAAGACTTTAAACCCCTATTGTCAAGTCTGTCGAAGTCACGCTCGGATTACCTAATATACGATCCCTGTCACGTTCGCACATATTTTGTATGGATGATGAAAAAGTTTATTGAAATTGCATTGGGTGGCGTGATTTTCTTTTAAAGTCTATACGACAGTGTTGTTTGTTGGTGTGTCTGTTACTTTTTTTAAACGCAGTTTTGTTGATATGTCACGGGCAGACAGTAGGCCTACACTAGTCTTCATTTAACCCAATATCTTCTGGAAAGTCCCAGGGATCCTTGCTGATAATGAACGTAAACGAATTTGCCCCGATTTGTGTACATTACTGAATGTCCCAGCGAAAGATGCTTACATACAATTTAGGTTTTGGCGACATCGCTAATCGCTTCAGATATGCAGACATTCAGACACTTCGGATGTCAGTGCCATGGCATTGGTTATGTCCTTGGGTATCAGAACCATATAATCAATGGTTCTGCCGGAGTGTCAAGCACCAGCGCCCTCTATAGAGAAACCGTAGTTATCTAGTCTCGGTGTCCGTGAGAACGAACTGTCACAAAAAGTTAATCTTTTGCAGAATGTATCAGCCTCCTTAAGAACATATTCATGTTTTAGTAGTAGTTGATCGGGGGGGGGGGGCGGTATAATAATTCGGTTATAATTATAAGTAAATTTGGTTAATAAATCGATATAGGCCTACTGATTATACAGAAGTATCCCCTATGAAAAAATATTGTTAAAAATATCCCCCATTTTTTTTCTTCAAGTAGGCCTACATGTTAAACTCAATTTCTTCTATAACATTTTCAAAATATTTGTTTAGCTCTTGAGTTGAGGGAAGACATCGAGACTGTTATACAGCCCGGTATGGTGCTTTCCATGGAGCCACATCTAACGATACCAGACGGACAACCTGGTGCAGGAGGCTACAGGGAGCATGATATCATGGTTGTGACTGAAGAGGGCGCCGCTTCGATTACTGGATTTCCTTACGGACCAGAACATAACATTATCCACCAATGATTGATTAATTAATCTGTTGCTGACCGATTGATTCCTTCATTGATTCGTTGAAGGGGTCAGGATCATATGTAGAATTTTTATCAAAGGTTGTCATGGTAAATCATAAATAGTCTTGAAATGATTTTTAAAGAATAAAATGAGGGAAATTCGAAAAAAATCTGGACAAGAAATTTTGATATAAGAAAAATGGTAACACGAAATAATTATTGACATTTTGATATCAATATCGTCATATCTACACCTTGTTTTTAAAAGACTGTTAAACAAAGTAAAACTTTGAAATGTTCAAAAGCGATATATAAATGTCTAAGCAAGAATGTTATTTGTTTTCATGGAATGTTTCTTGCACTGGGTTTTGTTTTGTTTGTTTTGGTTTCTTTTACTTCCTTTATAAAAGTAAGCTAATCTATATTTTTACATAATATAATCTTGGATACATCTCATTTTTTAATTTGTTTTGGTCATTATTATGTCCAAAGTATATTCTTATACAATCGTCATTTGCCTTATTTACATTCTAATATATGTACAACGTTGAATGTTCGCTTTAAATGTACATTAACACTGAACATGATTGCAAAGGCTTTCGAGAAATCAACCGAAACGAAATGTCAATACCTTGAAGTGCCATAGGGCGGCATGGATAGAAATCATGTTCAGGTTACGTAATACGTTATGTAATGTTCGCGCATTGTTGCATTTGTAAGGAAATTGAAATTGCCTCAAGTTGATCTTTTCGAAAGCTTTTACGATCGGTATTGTGAGTCAGTCGATATAAAGTTCACCGCAGAAACGTGCTCCTGTATTACAATGATGTTCTTCAACTCGCATTAAAGAACCCCAAAGTAATAATAGTAATTCGATAATCCATTTGCTATTTAAGTTCTTGTATATATATAATATATGAATCTATTTTGTGTCTGTATCACATGTTATGTATCTACTGACGAAGTGTTTTCATATTTTGTGATTTTGCAATAGCGATTGATCACTATCTTTTAATCATTAAAGTTGCATCTGAGCAGCAGAAAGGGCGTCAAAAATTTGGTTACCGTTTGAGAAAGCTGTTGGCGTGTCCTCTTTACTTTTTGGAGAAAAGAAATGCTGTTTGTTAGTTGATTTTGAGGAAAATAGGGAGTTGGCATGTTAGCCCCCACCCTCCACCCCAACATTGGACAAGGAGCGAAGAAGTGAATTCTTTTGCAAGCATCTCCAAGATTTCGTAAAGAACTATGGATCATTGTTAATATCGTTAAAGATCGCTACCTTTTATAATTTCTTCTAGTTTAAACAATTTATGAGCTTATTCAGGAATAATACAATATGCCTATGTAATTAAGCAGAAAGCAAAAAGAAAAGGATGAGAAGAAGAAGAAGAAGAAGAAGAAGAAGAAGAAGAAGAAGAAGATGATGATAAAGGAGAATGAGGAGGAAGAGGAGGAGAAGAATAAAAAGGAGGAGGAGGAGATGAAGAAGCAGTAAAAGAAGTGAAAAAAGTGAAACTGCAAAAGTGAGTTCTATGGAAACAGGAAACCTGAAATGAGTTCAAAAGTTAACCATGAGGAAAGTATTAACAAATGCGATTTAAAATCCAGATTAGTAAGAAAAATCAAAGCGAATGGAGTAAATCAGGAGTAGGTGTGGGGGGGGGGGGGGGGGGGGTCAGGCAAAGGCACTATATCAACCACATAAAAAACAGTAAAGAAAATGACACATATGGACTCCACCTGCTTTATAATCAAATCAAGAGTCGACCGGTATTACGTTTCTTAGAATTTCCTGCCTTCCCTCATTAAATTTCACTTGTTTCCTGTATGCAAAAATGTAAATATCCTGAATGTCAAGAACTTTTGAAGGATTTTCTTCTGAAGGTGAACAAAAGCTATCCTTGGCAGTGAACGGAAAGAAGGCCAAGGCTGAGCGCCATGACGTACATATTACGCGTCATCTGGGTATAGAAATTTCTTCTATTCATTGCTCACACAATAATTATCAAATAATCTCGTACAGCAAGTCAGGAAATTACACATTCCCTACACGCACAATAACCGACACACACAAAACAACACACATGCAGTGTACGGATGGACTGCAATGTGTGTCGTATTTGCACGCGTGTAAATATCGCGTGCATGACATACACGGATGGGCACGAAAAAGTCGGCCTCTCCAGATAGAGTGCACAGGTGACGTGTCAAGGATTGTCCATCGTAAAGGATGGTGAACTTGCAGATGTTAACAATAATGATATCATTAGAAAAATATAAACAAATCAGAATAGTGAGAGAGGGAGGGAGAGAGAGAGAGAGACTGTGATGTGTTCATTTGACACGTCCCCCTGCACCCGACTAGTAGTAAGAATATTAAATGTGTCTAATTACAGAACAACAAAGGAAAAACTGAAACTAGTATGTGATTTTCAGATTTAAAACGCTTCAAAAAAAAAAAATCCTTTGCAAGAAGTGTTGAAGGATTATAATTTATGTCATAAAAAAAGGAGCACAAATTTTTTTTGTCCGAGGCCTTTTTTTTGTCTTTCAAAGACGCCTTTGGCTCTCAAATTTGAAAGGAATACAAGATTGCAATGGGGCACATTCTTATGTTGTGTAATTGAGGCAAGTCACGCTGGGTTTCAACATAAGGTGCCCCCCCCCAACACATACACACCCATATAAACAAACTAATATACCGTCGTAAATCATTCTCCATACAGCTCGGCTGCTTGCATGCAGCCAATGAGACCTAAAATTGACATTGATCTACACTTGCCACTCTCCACCTAGGTGTTAAATGGGTACCGGTAGGAAGGAATTCCTTGAAATGCTGTGAGCGTCGAAATCGGCAGCCTAGCATAGCATAGCCGGGTAATGTTGGAGCGCCTTGAGGACCTTGCAAGGTCGATACGTGCGCTATATAAGAATCCAATATTATTATATTATTATTAAAACAAAAATGCTGTATTGCCCTTTAGGTGCCAAACCATGGGTCGGTCGGTCGAAAATCTTTTTAAAAAATATTGTTTTCCCTTCTCCTCTTTGGGCTGGTATTTTTCAGTTTTTTGCTTTAATACATTTTTTTCTGTTAAAAAACGGTAAAAAGAAGAAAAATATAATAATTTAAAAGCCGACCGTAGATTTCAAAATTTTTGGGTCGGTCGCAAAGGGCGATACAACATTTTTTTGTTTAACGCCTAATAGCATATCAAACAAGCAGAGTATACATTCGCTACATAATAATACGTCACTCTAACGCAGAGTATGGAATCCGACCTCGATGAATCATCTTTCAATCGAGTCATTCGTGCTGGCGAACTATCTGGGCTAATAACAAAAGTGATTTTGCTGAACCTCTACGACGTCATTAAAGAATGCTTGTTTATGTTGATGTCAGGGGATCAGCGAATGCTCTATGAACTCGCCCTGCTTCTATTTAATGACCCTTGCGTGTGAGGAGTAATGAGGAATGGCCTTGGTATTATGATAAACGTGTAACTTAAATTAAATTTATTGCTTCTGAATTGTATTGTGCTTGAATGAATCCATGCATATAGGCCTATATAATAATTAATAGCGGCTTCTCATATTGTATTTACAAACTGATGATACTGCATGGTAGCAATAAATATTTTCAATAATAAGGAAGAATTGATATTCATTTGATGGGGTTGTTAACTGGTATCAATATTGACATAGAGTTAACGCCCTTCCGGGTTTGGCAATATCATACACGAAATGTTAATTTCGTGCATTTAAGTATGATTACGAATTATTGCTGCACAGAATGGATCTAGAATGTCTTAACTGTGAATGCAGTTTACCACAGTGTGGATATAGTTTTACACAGTATGCACACATCGAAACACGCACGGTGCAAATTTGGTATGAATCGAAAACTGAACATAAATGGGGAAAATAATATATCAATGACAACCATTGTCATTTTGTGTGTGAATAACCATATCCATACAGTCTATACCCCTCTCTCTCTCTCTCTCTCTCTCTCCCTCTCTTCCTCCTGACTCTTATGTTGACCCACAGTCAAAGAACATAATATGAGGACACACGTTAAAAGGACGTGTATTCAAAATGAAAAACTTCCTAAACTTCGATGGAAATCCCAATTTGTTACGTTACTAATCACCGTGACACGAGTATACTCGGAAACTAGGTCGCAAACGATAATGAGTAAGTAAAAGATTTCTAATACAAGAATTTGAAAATAAGGGCTGGCACTTATCAAAATAGAAAGCGAAAGTAGAGGAGGGCGGGGAGGGGATAACATCAATTAGGAGAAAGGGGTCATTCATTCAACTGGGCTTATAGCAAGAATGCGGGTGAAGTGCAAGGCCGTGGACTTGTGACCTGAAACATACGTAACGATAAACCCGATCGGTCAAGTACCGCGAAAAAAATGAAATATGGTATGGCCGCTTGTAAGGGATCATCGCCGAGAACGAAAGTTAGTCTGCGAATGCAGACAGTTTTTGTATGACCATCAGAAATATTACGCGCCTATTAATATGTGTTTTTTCTGTTTCCCCCTAATACTTAGCACCTTTAAAATCTTCTTAACCATGAGCAAAACATACTTGTCACATGTGTATTCTTTTGTTTTCGTAGCGGGAATATACACATCTTAAATATAAAATTATATTTAAATTAACGGTCATAGGCACGCTGGGTAGTTGTGTATGTGCGTGTGTGTAGGTATTTTCGGGAGGGGAGGGGGGGGGGGAGGAATATAGGCTTAAAATGAATGGGCCTTTCTACCATCAATGTGTACCCTTTGTGATGTTTCTTTGATTTGAAAAACGTAGGCCTATATAAAAATGATTGTCACTATTATATGAGTCTTGAAATAGACTCTCGATCGCTCGTGTTTTCAAGGAATCTAAAAAGTTGTTATTTGGGCAAGAATCGTTACCTATAGCCTTTGTCCATGTATGGCAATAAATTGGACACTTCCAAGTTTTCCATTACATTCATTGCAGGGATAGAAAATTACAAAACAAACCGAATTTATGGTGGATAGTTAGATTTACAGCGTCTGTCCGCTGAGACTAGCGGCATTGGCGATGGTCAGTTGAATTATTTACGATGACCAGTCACCTACTTTTCCTCGTGACGTCGTAAAAGTGTCGCCGCTTGACCGATAGATTTCTGGGTTTCTCCTTTTTTATCTTCTCATTCGCTACCTCGAGGGATGAATGGACGATGAGTAAGAAATCTAGGCCAAGTATGAGGCCGCGAACTTGCGACCCCTCAATTATTTGTAAAGCTACACGAATGGTAAAGAAAAACTTT